ATCTGGTGACGAATAAAAACCCAAATACAGAGACAAATGTAGAAGAGCACAGTGACAACGAAGGGATAGTCTTGGCCATACAACCAGCAAGCGACCGTTTTGAACACCGCAAAACGTTCCTTCTCATGGGAGAAATCTCTGTGGTGAATCCAACTAGCAAAAAGCTTCAAAAAGTGCAAGTGCTAATTGATACAGGAGCTGAAATGTCCTTTATTGGAGGTGCCCTAGCTGAAGAGCTATGCCTGCCAATAATTGAGGAAAAGGAGCTATGTTACTACACGTTCGGCTCATCAGAAGTGCAAAAGAAGCAATCACGAAGAGTTAAGCTGCCATCATGGGATAGTGATGGACAGCTCCACATGCTGGATCTACTAAGCAGTGACATCTTCACAAAAAATTTTGCTCTCCCACCTTCACTGAAAGTCGACGAAGAAACGCTCCGTTCCACTGACATGACGCCTGTATTAAAACCACATGGACAACAAGTGAAGCCAAGTATTTTACTAGGATGCGACCAGGCATGGCAGTTTCTTAGGAGAAACTGTTTTCCAATCCAACTCCCATCAGGTCTCTATGTTTGGCCAACCACCCTGGGCAATATTTTGGCAGGGCAGATGAAATCGTCACAACACATTTTTCATTTACGTCTTGGTAATGACTATGAAGGGCTCGCTCAGTGGGACAAGTATTGGTCCTTTGATCCGCAAATAAACATGATCCAAGAAGATGACAAACCCCCAGGCGACGATGATGAGAGCAAGTGGGAAAAGTATTGGCAATTGGAAACAGCAGGTATACACGAATTTGGGAACTCAGAGAAGGAAGAAAAAGATCGTCAAGATAAGGAAGTCTGGGACAGTTTCAACCGCACCGTGGAGCGCAGAAGTGACAGTTATTACGTAAGGCTTCCATGGAAAGACGCTCATATGCTGTTATCAAATAACTATTCCATAGCCATACGCCGCCTTGAGAATATCTGGTGCTCAATGCAAAAGGATCAAGATCTCCTCCAACGCTACGATGCGGTTTTCCAGGAGCAAATCCTGCTGAATATTCTCGAGGATGTACCCAGAAGTAAGCCACTGCCGGAAAGAAAGATACACTACTTTCCCCACCAGGCAGTGGTGACACCAAACAAATCAATAACAAAGCTCCGTATAGTTTTTGACGCCTCAGCGCATTACCGAGGGTGCCCATCATTGAATGAAGTCTTGCATAGAGGTCCCGTGATACTCCCTCAACTTTTCGGAGTTCTCCTTCGGTTCAGGATAGGGAAAATAGGACTCATTGCAGATGTGGAAAAGGCCTTTTTATAGGTCAGACTTCACGAAAGCGAACGTGATGCCACAAGATGCCTTTGGCTGTGGGATTACCAAAAACCTTCTGAATCCGACAACATCAGAAGTCTTAGATTCACGCGAGTGGCCTTTGGGCTAACAGCTTCCCCCTTTCTCTTGGCGGCCACGACCTATTACCATCTGGACACGTACTCTTGTGAACGTGACTTAGTTGGTGAGATCAAAAATAACCTTTATGTTGATAACGTTTCACTGACAGCAGAAACTCATGCTGAAGCAAAGCACAAGTACATCAAGTGCAAGAAAATGTTCAGTGAGTTGAGCATGAATCTTAGAGAATTTGTTTCTAACGACCAAGAGCTCATGCAAGTGATGGATGGAAAGGACCGATCAGCAGATGGGTGTCCTAAATTACTTGGAATAGAATGGGATTCTCAGAACGATTCGTTTCAAGTTAGCAGTTCAACAAGTTAGCAGTTCAATCATAGAAAATTCTTACGTTTCTAAACTCGAGCGGTAGCGTCGATTTACGACCCACCCGGATGGCTAATTCCGTTGACGCATAATGCCAAACGATTTCTCCAGTCTTTATGGAAAGAGGGTTACGATTGGGATAGCATGCTCTCAGAAAGCCACAAAGGAGAATGGTTCAGAATCATCACGGATATCACGGGATTTAAGAAAACAATTCCGCGAGTCGTTGGTGTAAGTTCAAGTAATCATCTTGTCGCGACATTCGCTGATGCTAGCTCCGAATCAATGGCTGCATGTATTTATTTGTGCAACTCTCAATCAAGTCAACTTCTGATGGCACGTGAAAGGCTGCCATCACTTAGGCAGGCAATGACAATGCCAAAGATGGAGCTGAACGCTGTCACAATGGCATTTCGTCTAACAGAAGCAGTTACAAGGGAGCTCCGATCGATGATTCGGATTAAGCGAATTTATGTTTTTTCCGATTCGGAAATCGTGCTAAAGTGGTTGAAAAATCATCAAACCGCAGAAAGAAGTGTTATGGTAACCAACCGACTCAACGAAATAAGGAAGATTGTGGAACATCTAAAATCGCTCAACCTGGATGTCTATTTCAATCATGTCAACTCAGCACAGAATCCAGCCGACTGCGCCACAAGAGGGCTCAAGAAGGGCGAATTTGGGGCTCACCAATGGTGGAATGGACCTTCGTTCTTGAAAGAGCAAGAGTGCAACTGGACGAAAAAAGAAGAGAAGTTCCAGTTGGAGTGGACAAATGAAAATGAGTACGAAAGCGTCTTCCTAGCAACCAGCAACCAGAAGATGGATAAAGATAAATCTGACATTTATCTGGTGACGTCCAAACAAGCGGAGACGTTAACTCAAGCAAAACGCATTCTGGCCTATGTCCTACGATTCATCAGGGCAATCAACCCTCGAAGCGAGAGATCTCTACAAGTCACACCATGATGCGAGTGGAAATGCTCAACCGAGACATCGTCGATACCTCTTACGGGAGAAGAAATAAAAGAAGCCGGGAAGGTGTTAATTGGACATCATCAGAGGACAGAAATTACATCAGAAATCCTCAAGAAACTAGCTCATCTAAGGGTTAGGAAGGATAGCGAAGGTATCTTCAGGTGCTATGGCAGAATGGGCACAAGTGCCTTAAGTCCATCGGTCAAGTATCCAATCCTCATACTTCAAAAATCATTTCTGGCCAAGATCATAGTGGCAGAATGTCACAAAGGAGCACATCCAGGAGTCAATCACACTATGGCAATAATTCGTCAAACATTCTGGATACCGCAATTACGATCTCAAGTCATTAAACAAGTGAGAGCATGCCCCAAGTGTCAATGGCTTAACAATCTACCGTTCAAGTACCCCCATCAGAGCGACCTTCCGCCTGAAAGAGTCATCCAGAGTAGGCCTTTCGAACATGTCGGGTTAGACTATTTCGGACCCCTCTATGTAAGCAGCTCTACGGGGGAAAAAACAAAATGCTTCAGATGTATAATCACTTGTATGGTCACACGGCTGATCCACCTAGATCTGGTTTTCGACTCTTCAACGACATCTTTCCTACACATGCTCAGACGATTCTTCGGAAGAAGGGGAATCCCCAGCTCAATAACAAGTGACAACGCCGGAACATTCCTTCTAGGTGAACAGATCCTGCGGAAAAGGGCAGAAAGAGCTCAGATCGACCCTGCCATAGCTCGAGAATTAGGCAATAGGGAGATAAAATGGAGACACATAACTCCTTACGCGCCCTGGCAAGGCGGGTTTTATGAAAGGCTTATCAATTCCGTAAAATCATGCCTGGACGAAACGCCTGGAAAATCACCGCCATCGTTTGAAGAGCTATTCACGATTGAAGTCGAAATCGAAGCTTTTCTCAACACCCGCCCACTGTTGTACTCGGACTCAAGTTTAGATCCAGAGAGCATTCTAAGACCAATTGATTTTTTGCAAAACCATTTACAGGTGTACTTTCCATTAGAAACCAGCAAAGAAGACATCGAGGACCCTTCCTACTTACCATGAGAAGAAATTCCGGCATTTAGAACGAAACAACAGACAATCCAAGCGTTGCAAAGCTCAGTGAACTTAACGGAGCGGGCATGGAGAATATGGCAAACTCAGTATCTGACAGCGCTTCGCGAAAGTCATCAGATGGACGTGAAAACGAGGAAAGGAGGAGTGCACTTACCTCGAGAAGGGAACCTCATTCTGATCTGGGATGAAGCTCAACCACGTCACTCATGGATAATGGGTCGCATAGAAAAGTTATGTTCTAACCCACAAGGAGTCGTAAGGGAAGCGACGGTTCGTCTTCCATCGAGAAGATGTATACGGCGTCCGATCAACTTGCTGATCCCACTAGAACTCGAGGGGACAACAAAGGACGAAAGCGGCAGAGATTGCAATGAGAATGTTGAAGAACCAACCACTAACCCACGATACAATCTGCGCCCGAGGCAATCAGCAGCCGCCTCATTAAATACGATAGCGATAGTTGGAATTATGTGCTGCCTACTCGCGGTCAGCATTGGTATCCCCACAACTGATAATGCACCTATTATCACACATTCGAAACAGTTTGAACAAAAGAAAAACTTATTAAATTTTGAGTCAAGTAAACAATATATAAACTACAGCAACATTTCTGAGTATGGTCCAAATTTCAGACTAGAATCGCGTGATCTGAAAGGAGGCCCGAAATACCTTTCTCGAATGACTATTGAGCCGAACCCCACAACAGAAAGAATAGAGAATGATATGACCGCAACTCTCAATGAAATACACAATCAAGCAACTGTCGCCACAACAGTGCGAAGCGAGTTGTTCCATATTCTGTGTAGTGCAAGTCTTCGCGAGATGGGATCAGCAAAAAGAGTTCAACTCTTGAACCACTTTCTGCTCACTGTCAGTCTTACAAAGGAACGACTTCTCCGCTTCGGAACACGCTGTTTTGATGGATCGAGTCTACGAAAGTCGCACTCAAGGAGACGAAGAACTGGCGAATCAAAGGGAGGAGTGGTTGCAGATTGAAGATTCCCAAGTGCAGATCAAAGAGGTTATGGCCAACATTGAAAAAGATGTCCGCCGCTTGGAAACTACTATGAAGGAAATAAAGGAGTATATGGCAGCTGCAGATCGTGAACTCAAGTCTAACCGTCAGCAACTGGAAGCGGCAGATATACTCACTAAGAGCATACAAGCCTTGGAGGATAAAGTAAGGATGATACCGAACCAGTCAAGTGATGATAAGATAAAGATACTTCACGAAAGGCTTACTGCCTTGGAAATGACCTAAAAATCTACAGAGCCTCGAAAAGGCGAATCGCTGACAGTTTAAGTTGATGTTAGTAAGGGAAGCACTGTCGTCGCACAGGAGAACGTGCAAGTTGCGGAAAGGAAAGAAGATCCGAAAAAGCCACTTCCGGCGCAGACCAAAGAAAGGGCTGAAAGAAAACTATTCGAAGAAACAGACTAGCAATATTTCGGACGCTTGGTTCTGGAAACAAGTGAAACGAAGCACAAAGCAAAGGATCGTATGTTGTTATCGAGCGTAGAAAAGGCAGTCGAGAGACAAGAGCCATCGGAGGACCGTCAGAATCAGCTACAGAGGAAAAGAACTTCCAGCGACAGAGAACCAATCGCCATGGTCTGCTCGACTAAGCCTTCAGTGAGTCACAAAAAAAGGCAGAATTAGTGTAACAATTCATCCAAGTGTAGCAAGTCAGTCCAAAGAATTGCGCAGAGAAATCGATGCGATGGAATCTGCCCTTTCCAAGTACCCGTACAGGAAAATAATCCAGTGGTCTACGGGAATTCAGTCAAGTATCGAATGCATCTTCTGTGGGTCCATGGGAACCCATTATTCGGACTCGTGTCCTATAGTCGTTGAAGGCTATGAGAGGCTGGAAGTAGCCATGGCTGCCGGCAGGTGCCNCCAAGTACCCGTACAGGAAAATAATCCAGTGGTCTACGGGAATTCAGTCAAGTATCGAATGCATCTTCTGTGGGTCCATGGGAACCCATTATTCGGACTCGTGTCCTATAGTCGTTGAAGGCTATGAGAGGCTGGAAGTAGCCATGGCTGCCGGCAGGTGCCTACAGTGTTTGAAACTTCACGAGGGTGCATGCACGTTAAAAGAAGACGGCTGTTGGTACTGCCGGCAACTTCGCCAGACCCCATTCGAAGACATCATACCGCTCTATCGCCACCATCGTGCCCTTTGTCCGGTGCCCGACGCAAAAAGAGAGCAACATGAAAGAGTTTCGGAAAAACGAAGAGAACTAGTACAGAAGGAATGTGAGCGGGCCTCTTCGTCAAGGGCCGGAATGTCGCGAACGACACCATGAATATGGTCAGGTTTGAAGAAATTTTCCTAGTATTAAATATAGGTGTATCTGTTTTAGTTGTCTAAATTGTAGTTCAGATAGATCAAGTGAACGACGCCTTCCCGCGCGAAATCGATCGTATTGGGTATATAAAGTGCAATCCACGCCGGCAGGACTTCAGTTTGATCCGACATATCTTCCATTATTGGTGTCTCTGTTCTTGTTTCTTATGTTCAAGTACGACTCGAGTTTTTATTGTGGATAATTCAAGTATTGTATTGTTGCGGGTTTAATTACCCAAGTTCGAGTATTGTATTGTTGCGAGTTTAATTACCCAAGTTTGAGGTAAACGTTGATCGAGCTGTGTTGTGTAATCAGTATAACCCCGCGTGGCACACATTTTGGTGAAGGCTAGCAGTTTGGTGAAACACAGGACAGCTAGATATGTGCAATTCCGTTCGTGTGGGTCGTCGTGCGTGTAGCTGACTGTAGTGAGCGGAAATGTTTTTGGAAATTATTATTCAGTCTTGAGCATATTCAAAAAAACACTGCTACAGAAAAGATAAGCCACTCTTCTATCTCCGTAAGCTAAAGAGCTAGAAAAATGACAGTAGCAGCAAAAAGAATAAAAGAAAATAACAGAATGAGAGTAAAACAGCGCTGCATCACTCGACGATTAGCTGATTGCGTGCTGAACGTGTGGGTCCTAGCACGAATATTGCAATTTGTACCAACTCCCAGCTCGTCTGACATAACATCGGTCGATGGGCGTAGCATCCGATCCGGTAATGGGGCTCCTCTTACGCCCTAGCACTTGAGTTTTCGGCCCCACAACGTCCTTTCCATTACCCCTAGTGGCCACTGGGTTATCCTGAGGGAAAATATAAGGAACCATCTTGATCGTGAACAGTGCCATTAAGCATGCAACCCTTCAAAATTTCATTAGTTTCCGCTCCCTACAAAAGGATGGGGATAGAATCTCGGATGTCCTCCTTCACCAAATCCGCAACCATTCGTAAATTATTAGTGGACCATCCAACGTTCACAGCTCCACATTAATTTCTTGGCCGAAACCGTTCACTCTTCGAGAGCCTTGCATACTGTCCACAAAACTCATGCAGCATCTCATATACTAACAGTAGTGGCCAAAAGTTTTCAGTAAAACGGTATTTCATAAAATTACATAAACATTTGGTATATTAATCGAAGGCATGCTATGAATCCTTACCGCTATTAAACTGCAATTTGCCATTGTTCACGTCACGTAGTGAAATTTAACTCAAATTCAGATAGCATCGACCTAATAAAAACCGCTACATTTACGAATAGAAACATGCAAGACATCAAAACACCGATATTTGGTAGGGAAGCCTTGACTTTTGATGATAGCATCGCAATAGGGAGGCATCGAGTCGATTAGGTTTTGAAAGGTTTTTTTGGCATGGCGTTCCCTTCCTCGCTTGTTAAGCGAATTTTTCCTCCCTATTTCAATAAAATTTACTAGAAAAACGCCTTTTGAGGTCTCCCCACATATGCTCTATTGGTTTTGGTAATTGTTGAGGAGTGTTTCGGATCATTACCCTGCTGCAGGATCTATCCTGCTGGCATGTGATGGTGTGCCCATGGCAAGACGATATCGACCGCCATGCTCTTGTACTACTCCCACGTCATCGTATCGAATTTTCAAAATAGGGCCAATTCCCATTCGAGGAAAAGGCAGCATATATTAGGTTGGGAGCGACAAAAAATTTGAAGCGCCAACAATTTGTATCAACAGTGTGAACACGGTAGCAAGAGTGATAACCTTGTAGGAAATTACTCAGGTATTCAACACGTTAGTAAATAACGGCACGCGTGTGGGCTTTAGGAGCATTGCGGTCAATAAATGGACAACACCCGATTCCGATCACCTTCTTCTAAGCACGCCAAGGAAAAAACGCGGGTGTTGCGGCTCAAATTATCAGCAACTTATTCAGTGCTGGCACTGCTCACCGATCAACGGACAACAATCGGTTGGATCGCTTCACTGGAGGAGATGCTAGCCTTCGAAGTAACGCCAGCACCGTCCCTTCATTCAATGAAGGTTGAAGGGATCCATCCACTATGAGTTGCTAGACGCAGACTAGATGGACAGAGCTATCGGTTACCCCTATGAACTCCGAAATTTGGCCAGCAGGGTTAGAGAAGGACGATCAAAACCGTAAATCAGGTCTCTACAAAGGGTCAACACACTTCGAAATTTCGCCTTAAACACGCGCCAAAAGTTATACGATTCCAATTGGTTCCAGATTGTTCATCAGTCGTACTCCCCGAGTGTTACCCCTTTTACCTACCATGCGCTCCGCCTTCTTGAGCATCCCGTTGTGGAAAGAAAAATCGTAACTTAATGTGATCAGAAAACGGCAGTCAATTACTTCTTTGAGTCACAGCTTCCTTACTCTTGGATAAAAGGCGTCAGTGATTCACTCAAAGGATAACAGTAGGGTGATGACCTCTTTGGTCAACATATTTCCAAAAGTTGATTGGCCTGGAAAATTTCAGAAATGATTTGAAGGAGACCTTCATTGTGTCGCAGGACTTTCCTTCCAACCTAATACTTTCACACTTCCTCCACCATGCTTAGTTGTGGGTAGGGTGTATTTGCATCAAACCTTTTCTTAGATGGGCGTTGTCCGCAGCGTATACCATCGCGATTGAACTTGCGCCGATCCGTAGAAAAAAGTCTACTGCATTCAGTCGACGTCTAGTTGGGGTGACAGGGGGGAAACTTCACTCTAGCTCTCCTACTTTTTGAAATGATGAACGGTTTTTTGGTCGAACGCCTCCTATGAATGCCAGCCGCAGTGAGACGAGAGTGAGCCTTCGACCAAAGTGTGATCCGTCTGTCCTGGGCTGATAAAGCACATCGACGTCTTCCCGTTCCCCAAGCATTGCACACAGAGCTACTGACCTGCTAGCATGGGATAATCAAAGAGATCGTCTGCTGTGGATCCTTCAACATTCTTGAAGTGACAATGACTTTCACGAACTATTCCATCATGTCTGCTGCTGCCAGTCGAATTCTCTGAGTGACTATTGCCCTCCCATGCATACCTTGAGTGAACAAGTACTAATGTCGAGCACACAAGGGATGCAAAAATGCAATTAACACTTACCTTGCAATCAGGAAAAATCGCTTCTTACTAGGGCTTCTGCGCGAAGTCATCTAATCCCCCTTTTTTGAGGCTAAACAGTATAAACTGGTTCGGCTTAAGGCATACCACAATTTTCGAAAAATTTGAATATATACGGTTCGTCTTCACTCATGTGCGAGCACCAACAACAAACCGTTTGCTTCTGTCTTTCGCTATCACCACCCGCGGTAGATTCAGGATCCGACGAAGATAGCGATGTGAGTCATTCAGCTGCTTTCGCATTTGTTTCTCGTGATGAACAAGCAGTTCCCCTCCACCATCTCGCAGAAGGCCTACCCTCAGATCGTGAAGATCCAACAGGAGCCCCCCCCCAACTGTTCTTCTTGCCCATATGCCATGATCTCTTCTCATTATATGATCGTCCCAACGGAACTTCGCGTTCCTCATTTATTCCACCGGATCGCGGATTCGAGGAATTCTGCCCAAGCTGCGGAGTCCGGCTATATACCGAGTGAGCTGTTTGAACCTCGAAAAACATCGCCCGAGCGCTCTGTGACTTGTGGTCAAAGCCCATTGACGTGGATGCACTGGTCACTCAAGTCTCCGGCTCGTAACCGAGTGCAGTAAGAACCGTAGGATCTAACAGAGCAGCGCGAAATTCCGAGTCAGCCAGATGGTTGGTGACCTCCTTTAGAACCGCGAAGGCTGCCCACGCTACTTTCTCAACGGTTCTTCCCTCGTGTCTTCGTCCATATTCATGGAACGCTTGAGATAGACCTAGGCTGAGGTCTCCTTGATCAGTGTTCCATCTATTTTAATTTGACCTTCGTCAGCCCAAGCATCCTCATTAACTGTGACTTTGTTTGGTTGAACCACAGCCTCTTTCTTGCTTTATTAAGCTCAGCAAGCATAGTCTCAGCTTCCGCAATGCTGCTAGGAAAGAGAATGATGTCGTCCGCTAAGCGGAGATTGGAAAGGAACCGTCCGTTCACACGAATGTCCTTTCCGTCCCAGTCTAGCGACTTCATAGCCCACTGCAGCGCGGCTGTAAATAGTATCGTCGAAACTGTGTCGTCTTGTCTCACACTCTTCCCTATGGGTGGGGAGAGGTCGTTGAAACAACTTCACCGTCGCACTGCAGCGACTACTGCAGTCAGCTAGTGTTCTTATATAGGAAGAGGAGAGAGGCTATCCGCGATGGACCAGTGCTGACAGGACCGCATTCATTTCGCATTTCGACACGATGTCAAAAGCTTTTCATAGTCAACAAAGGTCTTCGGAATTCTCGGCACACTTCGATCCACATTGCGACCGCGGGTTAAGATGATCTTGGTGAACAGCTTGTAAAGCACGCTCAACAAGCTTATTGGGCGGTAGTTGTGAAGACCATCCCGGTCTCACTTCTTGTTTAGAATGACCATCCGCGATT